GATGTCTAGTGAAAATTAGTTGCACAATATATAAGATTAACATTTCACAAAACCAATTCGTAAGATAACCGAGTGAAAAAGTTCAAATACTTTCACGCTCAAAATTTAAATGAACAAGAAGACTCACAAGTCACAATGTCAAAACTCCCCATGATTTAAGTTTCCTAGTGTTAATGGTGCACACGACAAGTAATATAGAAGAAGAAGAAGAAACATATCGTGAATCATGATCATTAATATTATTGAAGTAACACAATTATTGGATCAGGCTTGTGACAATTGACAAATCAAAGATAAAGGGGTGATTCGAGACGAAGGAAAATATTTTTTTGGAAAATAAGTATTGATTTTCTTGTTTGTTTTTAGTGTTTGATACTATGTTAGAAATATTTATGTGTTATTATTATTATTATTATATATATAACCCAATCTATACCAACGGCATTAAAGCCCCTTGATTAGGTTGGAGCTATAAAGCTTACCTTATTTATTATTATTAAAAAAGGAAAGGGACTTCCCGTTGGTGCGCAGAAGCGCACTTTCATTTTCCCTTTACTAATAGGGGGTCCCGCGGTTCCTATGTCGCCGCGTTTTCCGATCCTTTTCTTTTAGTGCTTCGACTTGAAGCGATAACTTCTAGCTAGTTCAGACCAACTGGTAGACGGTTCCCTTTCCCACAAATCAATGAAGAAGTGAGACGTAAGTTGATTATTCCAAATAATCGAAAGTGAAGCGCTATACCGGGGCGGGGGGACGGAAAAAGAATTGGCTCCGAAGAATGAAAAATATGTGTGTGTGTGTGTGTGTGTGAAGGTGCGGGATGGGGTGGGTGGTGGGTGGGGTATCCATGTAGGAAAAATTACATGGTTAAGCAAACACATACTAGTTAATTAGTCATCATAGTTATAGTTTTAGTTAATTACTACTCGCGATTAACATTCAATGAAAATTACATGGGCTGGGGTTTCGAGTTTGTATAATTCACACGTTTGTATAATATAATTTGTATAACTTTTATATAATGTAATTTTGTATAATATAATTTGTATAATTGTTTAAAGTTAAACTGTAGCTATAACCAATAAATATGTAAACAGTTTATAGCTATGAAGCATAATTAAGTTTATTATAGTGACTATTTGCAAAAATTCCCCATCAATGCATAAAATATGTATACTAACTAAGAAAGTAAGCAGTGAATTCGGTGGGCTATTTATGCTAAGATCCCATAGTGATTCCTAGAGGATTTCGAACTATTCTCTTTGGGCCTTTTAAGTTAAAAGCTCTCTATAAATCTTCAAGAGTCTACTTGGGTCCAGCATCAAATCTAAAGGCCTTTTCTAGTAGCCCAAATACACATGAATTCTTTGCTACCTCATTCTTTTATGAACAACTTTCACATATAGCAAACACAAAATTCATATTTGTATGCTATAACAAAATTTGCATAATTGCGCTCCATAGCAAACATATATATGTATAATTCGCTATACATATACAAAAAAACAGTTGTATAATTTGCTTTGGTATACATATACAAAAAGATCAATTGTATAAAGTGAGAGAGGCGAGTGAGCGAGCGAGATCTGGGAGAGTGGCGAGCGAGATCTGGGAGAGGGGAGAGAGGGGAACGAAAATATAGTTTTCTTTTGTCTTTCTCTCTTTTCTCGCTTTATACAAACACAAACACATTTTATACAATTTGCGTTTTTTGTATAAAGTGAGAGAGGCGAGTGAGAGAGCGAGATCTGGGAGAGTGGTGAGCGAGATCTGGGAGAGGGGAACAAAAATATATGTATATATACAATTTTCTCTCGCTTTATACAAACAAAACGCATTTTATACAATTTGCGTTTTTTGTACAAAGTGAGAGAGACGAGTGAGAGAGCGAGATTTGGGAGAGTGGCGAGCGAGATCTGGGAGAGGGGAACAAAAATATATGTATATATACAATTTTCTCTCGCTTTATACAAACTACAAACACACTTTTATACACTTGCGTTTGTATAAAAAAATGAGAGAGGCGAGGGAGAGAACGAGAGTGGCGAGCGAGATTCACCAGGAGAGAGGTAAAATAGCAACAATTTGCTATGAGGTACAATTAAATCAAACTATATTTATAGTATTTAATTTGAATTAATAGTTTTGCTATTATATACAATTTTCCCTTCTTTTATGAGCAACGTTCACATGTAGCAAGCATAAAAATCATATTTGTATGTTATAACTATAGTTTGCATAATTGCGCTTCATAATAAATTTTATGTTTGCTATGGAGTTTTTGATTTGTATAATTCGCTAGATACATCCAATTTTATACAAATTGTTCAGTTTTGTATAAAATTTTATTTATACATTGTAATTTGTATAATAAGATCTGTATTTGTATAATTACAAGTGTATAAGACGAAAAATATATGTATTTGTATTTGTATATACACTTTTTCTCTCGCTTTATACAAACACAAAGACATTTTTATACATTTGTATACCGAAAATGACTAATTGTATATCGAACCAGATGACAAAAAAATGTGATGTTTGCTGCGAATTACAAATAAAATAAACTATGGCTATAGTATTTAATTTAGATTAATAATTTGCAATTTCATACAGTTTATTTCAAGACTACTCTCCCGTCTATTTTTATTTGTCATGTTACGATTTTTGAAAGCCAATTTGACTAATTTTCAAAATTAAATTAAATTAAATTAATTCTATATTTTTAACAAAAAATTTAGATATTCAAAATCTATATGAAAAGTACTATAAATTATAATTTTTTGTGTATCAATATGATGAAAAAATACATCATAAAATGTTAGTTAAAATTTTTATAGTTTAACTCTAAAAAAAAATTATGTCAATTAAAAGTGGACGAAGGTAGTAACTCATGCTCTTTCTTTTTACTTTGCCGGCCCCTTACCTCATTAATTGTTAACAAAATGATAGTGACTTAAGGGGGGCATATAAGTAAAATGCCTGTAATTGGTTGGTGTACGGCAGTTTGGCTTAAGACAAGTGTTCACTTTTATCGAAGTATATTGCTACTAAAAAAATAAACAAGTTTTTGTGCTGACTGACTATCACAAGAATGCCACAAGTAGAATAGGAAAAAAGAGAGAATTGTTGCAGAATGACTTCCATTTTTGCTTTTTTGCTACCTTGGGATAATGATGAACTTGCTCCAAAATAATTACAGTAGTATTTTTGAACAGTACTACTGCACTTACTCTAGCTCCTTTTTGTAGGGTTTAAACGAAAAAAACGCTGTAGCATTTGAAGTTAAGTTTAAAAAGATTATTTGAACATTCAAGTTGTGTTTGAATATATATTTTATTTGAAAAAATAAAAACTCATTTTGAAAAAACCGGTCAAAATCACTTTTAAAACTCGAAGCTCATCTTCCATTTTTCTTTTGAAAGAATCAGTACAATTTATGCACACGCAATTTTGCCAAACGGCTACTTATTAATTTCTTTAATCAGAAGTCAACTAAACATTCATCCGTCACTAACTGTGACGTGCTATTTAATTTTTAAACAAATCAAAGATATATTTTGTAATAATTTATACGGAAAAGTGCGAAAATATTAGCAACTTTGATATAACTGATCTACTTATTCTTATGTCATTGAGAGGTTATAGATTCGAACGGTGAAAATAACCTTTTATAAAATACAGGATAATAATGCATACAATTGATTCCCCCCTATGGTTTAACTCTTTTCCCTGGACTTAATGTCTTTTAAATGTTATTAAAGAAAATAATCTTTTCATCCTCACAAAATAAGAAAAATTTATGCATGCCTTTATTCTATCCTCTCAAATTCGACTCGTGAAATTATATTTAATATTTTATTATTGTTGTTGAATAAATATATGAGGCTTATTTATTTTTAGTTTAGATTAGAAGTAGGAGGTAGCCTTTCACCAAAATAAGAAGATGGGTCATGTTTTGATTTTAAAGTTGAGCACGTGTAAGGGACAAAGATATAAGGGGTCGTTTGGTTGGGAACTAGTTATCCCAGGATTAACTATCATGAGTTAGTTATTCTAGGATAACTTATTACATCACTATGCTATAAATGGTGGGATAAATTATCCCAAACATGTCAACCAAATAAGACATCTAACTTTTATCTCATGACTATTTTTTTATCCCAAAATTATTTATGCTTATCGCTCACACCAAACGAAGATGTACAAATGAAAGAAGAGTACGTGGATGATTTCAAGCTATAAAAAACTACATTTAAAGAACATAGACTTTTATTGAGCCTTTTGGGACCCTTTTAGCATGATAGTGACTAAACCTTCTTGTTGGTTAGTTTTCTAAAATAGTGCTTTGGGTAGTTTGGACTTTGGAATGTTAATCTTCACTAATGGAAGAAATAATGCAGTATGAAAAAAATAAAAAATATTCCATCAATTTCATTATTTTTAAATGAAAAAAAACAACCAACGCTATTTTCATATTTTATTTTTAATGACGATTTTTATAGGCACAAAAAATCATATATCATGTTTGAAATTACAAAATTTGGAGGCACTTTTGCCATGTACCAACTTTTTTATTTATTTCTCTTAAACTCTTTGTCCAGTTAAATTTTGGTATTTAAAATGAAATATATGGAGTATATTATTAGGTTAAACTAAATGTAGTTATGATAATCAATTATTCATAAAACGTGAGATTAACCAGACAAAAAAACATGATATGTTACCTATTAAAATACACTAATAAATTTAAAAGTACTTTACAGTTTACACCATCAATGTGTGTATATTTTAATACTAATATATATAAATGCTAAATCATTTTTGTTATTAAGGATGCATTGGTAGTTGGTTGGTTAATCGTCAAATCGTCATCAGTATTTTTAATAGAAATAAAGTGTTATTTTAACGTTTAAAGTAAACCGTACAACAAATTTAATAAGCTAAACCTAATATTTTACGTATTGTTTGTCTATATAATTCTCTACACTTGACATATATAAATATATATATTAAGCTCGTTCAGAATGTATGATAATGAAGTCCATTTCTCTCTAAGAAAATCACACTCCAATTCCCTGTCTCTCATCCCTCCAAAAATACTTCAATTTTTGTCCTTTTTTTCATATTTCATTCCCATTCTTCTCTAAAGTAGAAATCGACACATTTGATTTTTTTCTCCCCTGTTTTCGTAAAGTATCCCTTCGATACGAGTACAGTATGTCAGAATCCAATTGATCATAGACATCATAAGTTGCTCCTTTTTGCAAACATTTCTCGCTCTCCTTTGATCTTTTTTTTCTCTTCCATCTTTTGATAATTCGTATCTATAATTGTAAGATTAGAGGTGAAAATTAAGGTGTTTACTATCTAAGCAACTCATACTAATTGAATGTCGAAGCGAATAAGAGAGAGTGTTGAAAAAGGGAATAAACATCCAATTTATAGAGGAGTTCGTATGCGAAGTTGGGGAAAATGGGTGTCTGAAATCCGGGAACCGCGTAAAAAGTCACGCATTTGGCTCGGGACTTATCCAACTGCAGAAATGGCCGCTAGAGCACACGACGTCGCTGCATTGAGCATAAAAAAGGACCCATCAATTTTAAATTTCCCTCATCTAATTGACTCATTGCCTCGCCCAATTTCACTCTCACCGAGAGATGTTCAAGCTGCTGCAGCTGAAGCAGCTGCAATGGAGGATCCAAATTTAGTATCTTCTTCCTCCTCCGTTAGTTCAATTGACAAAATCACATCAGCGTCGGACGATCTGGGTGAAATTATAGAGCTTCCTAGCTTGGACGGAAGTTTTGAGTCGAAGACCGAATTGACGATGACTGACTCAGTTGACGGGTGGCTGTACCCACCGTGGTGGGCATCAGATGGCGACTTTGATGGGTATCTTTTTGAGCAAGATGCTGTTGGAGACGGTTTAATTCTTAGCAACTTTGAAATGATGAAATAAGAAAAATTGGTGCGAGTTTTTTTAATATTTTTTTAGACATTTGAATTTTCATGAACTAGTCATGTGTGTTTATGTATATGTATATAAAAATAAAACTATTTATAAGTTAGTATATTATTATCTGTACTTTTTATAGCATATCCAAGAACATATATATGAGCACTACATACTTTACTTATTCCGTATTTCAAGTTCAGAAACAGATTTAATATTTTATTTTCAAATACTGTATTTGTTTGATCATAAGTTCTAATTTCAAGTATTTTTAAGTGCGATTAGTTTTCAAGAGAAATTTTTTTCTCACACTCACAAAATACATGTCTAACATAATTTCAAATTTCAAAATATTAAATTTTTAAGTTTCAAATTTCAATTTCAAAATTTATGTCAAATTGAGCAAGTTAACAAGTGTACCCAATAGCTTTGAACAAGTCTCAATTGTTTGCTTACTTCATCAATCTCTACCTTCATTACGCAAATGAATTTTTTTATAGGACACATAAAGTAAGAGTAAATGACGTTGAAATTAATTACAATCGTTTTTGGTGTGTCAAATAAAGTTATTAAAGAGGACGTAATGCCGTATAAATTTAAGTTATTTATGCTAAAATTATAATATAACATGTTATTTATCATCTAATTGGGGTAATATGATTATGTCACGTTATTCAGAAATAAAGTCTAACTTGTGAAATACATTGATATATTGTTATTATTGATGTTAGCGTCTTGAAAGGCCTCCCGTCCCATCGAATTTGCACTCAAAAGTCAGAACTTGTGTTGATGTAAAGGGGTAGGGGCCGGGTCGGGGTTGATCGAAAATTAAAATAACGATCGAGTACTATAGTAAATGGTAGGCATTTTCTCAATTTGAAAGGTTAACATGTCATTTTCGTATATCTTAATAGCTTTACTATCCAATTTGTAGGAAAAGGTTTAGCACTTTATAAATAGAGACTTGTTCATTCTAACTTAATCAACATTCACAATATAATTTTAGGGTTTTGAGAGTTTTGGTTTTGAGAGAGAATTTTGTGAACCTCCTTGTATTCCGAGTAAATTGGTTGAGGTGTTCTCTCTATATATTTTGTACTATCATATTTATAGTGGATTGCTTATCTCCTTTGTGGATGTCGATTGACAAAATCACGCTAAATTTTGTGTCTTTTGATATATTTATCATTTATCTTCTTACTCATGGTCTTTCGAAGTTTGCTTTACCAGCTTCCGCATTACACCTAGTTATTTAGGTCCTACCATTATGTTCTTTATATTCCTTCTATTAAAGACATTTTCTTTTATTTTAGTCTCCTATGGTTAACTCTTTAAATAACTTGGCTCTTCTTGTTTTTGTATTAAAGAAGAACTGTAATTTTATTTTAAGAACTATTCGTTGGTTTTGTTAAATGAAAAACTTTTTTAACAGTTACAAAATGTACTGATCATTTTATTCAAATGTTCCTTTTAATTTGTCACTATTCAGATTTTGCCCCTATTTTTAAAAGCTCCTTCGGGGACATATGATTTTTTTTTTTTAAAAATTATAGTCTTTAGGATTAATAACAAAACATTATACTATCGACTAACTTTCAGATTATGCTCTAAAATGTTTATAAATTACAATAAGTTATTTATTAAATAGTAATTATTTTAAAAGGGATAAGTGGTGAAATTTTGTGTACAAAAATGGTCTTAACTGGCAATCATTGATTCAATGTGCACCTTTCATTTATTTATTAATGCAGCCACGTTTTGCATTCATCCATTTGGTTCGTTTTCAATATGTTTTAACTCTACTATTTAGTCGCTGTTTATATGCCTCCTTCTTGTGAAACATATTCCCCTATTTATGGTCTATCTTTCATGTCTGATCATCATCTCCGATCCATGGCTTTCTCTATCTCAATTAATAATGTGTATCTTCCACATGAATATTTTTGCTTTTTTTATGGTGATTCATTTTAGTGTTTTCAAAAGTTTACAAGTGATCTTTAAAACAATACTTCGAAGAGGAGCCTTATAGCAATGGTGAAGATTGTCTTATCGTGTGATTTGTAGGATTATGGGTCCAAGATGTGGAAGCAGTTATTAATGGTTGTATGGTTTCACTCTGCAAACACTCTGAATCAATTAATCTCTTAATCTCATCCTCTTTATCATAAATGATATTCTTGCCATGAAAGGAAATATTGAAAGAATTTATAGTAAATTATGAGATTTGAAAAAAAAGAGGAGATATTAATCACAGAGAAAACAAAATTTCCACAATAAATACAAATCTTTCCTATATATCATATTCTTTGCCATATGGCTCTTCTACAACACTGTTAATGCGAATGTTTTGTGCATTATTTTATTTTAGGTCAACTCACTACACCAAAAATGATTTTTAGCAGCATTAATTAATGACAATAGATTAATTGTTATTAAATATGTATTTTTAGCGACAATTAACACTCTTTGTAAATGTCTCTAAAGTCTATAGCGACATTGGATTCAATGACAATAAACTAGTACTGGTAAAAGCTTTAACAATTTTTGTTAATATGTATATTTATTGTTGTTAAAAGTTTTTTTTTTTGTTGCGGTGACTTCGTCTCTTTTTTCTACATAACAACTAGCTAACTTGGCTTAAAGTTGTAGTACTAGTTTAAGCCTATATAAAAAGTGTAAGAGAAAACGATGGGGA